GCCGTTCTGCCCGTGTTTGTTGTGCGGGGAAGGCCCCTCCGCCGCCGCGCTGCCCGTCTCGGGCCTCCCGATTGGCCGGCGGGCGTCACGTGGCCGCGATCAGCTGGGCCGGATGCGCGGCGGGGCCTCGCGGGTCCCCCAGCAGCGGCTGCTAGCCCAGCCAGGGTCCTGCGTGCCTCTCGCGGCTGGGAGGCTAGGCGTACGCTCGCACCCCCTTTTTTGCGTTCGTGTGCTGGTAGGTGGAACAAAGGAGAGTTACGACCAGCGGAAGTGGGAAAGTGAAATACTACGGAGATCTGTTTATCTTGACATGAACTAATCTCCCTTTGTAGAGTCACTGGAAGGTGTACAGCTCATTTATTTTTAAACTTTTTCTGTTTGCAGAGCCGTATTGGTAATGTGATGATTTTTATTCCAGGTCTCCTTGACAGATGGAAAACCTGAAGTAACCTCGGGCTAACCTTGTGTTTCTGGAAAATTAGTAGATTTACTGCAGTAAGTGGGGTAATAGGATATGTACCAACTGACTTTGTATAGCTGCATACGCGGGGTTGCAGCTTGCATTCCAACCACAGAGGCAAAAACAGGCAGTATTTCCAGGATACATATTTGTGCCAGATATGAGTGTCCTGGTGGATTCTTCTTTCTTTTTCTTTTTTTTTGAGGCAGGTCTCAATATGTAGTACAAACTGGCCTGGGACTCAGGACAATTCTTAGGTCTCGGCCTCCCCAGTGCTGGGATTACAGGTGTTCACCACCATGCCCAGTTTTGGTGGATTCTTTTCTTAAAAAGTTTGTTGTAGGGGCTGGGGATTTAGCTGAGCGGCACAGCGCCTGCCTGGCAAGCGCAAGCTCATGAGTTCGATTCCCGGTACCGGGAAAGAAAACCAAAAACCAAAACCAAAACAAAACAAAAAACGAAACGAAAAAGTTTATTGTACCTGTACTGGGTAAGGTACGAAGGAAATTACCAAAATACTCACTAGAAGCTTACACTTTCGTCGAGTCCTGTTGAAGTGCAGTAGTAATACAAAGTTAAATGTCAGTAAATTGTGAGGTGAGTTTGTAAGCATTCAGAAAGTACATTGAGAAATGAGGAAGACGAAGTAGGAAGCATTCTGAAGTGGATTGGTGTTGATTAGACCCAGAAAATGAAGAGGCTTTGAGTTGCTACTGGACAACAGGGGTTTAGGAGGAAAAACAGGTCTCGAGCAAGAAGGTGTAGCTTGTGGAATTTGGCTTACAAAGTATTTTTTGTGTACATACACACTTCGGAAGGAACTATCTGCCTTTCTAACACCTCTATCTGGTCCAGTGTGTGCAGTGCAGACTTTAAAAAATCTCTAGCAACCTTTGCTCTAGGAAAAAGAACGTGATGAAATGTGCTTAATAATTTATACAGGGAAGCTAACTGGATTTTAACAGTAATTTTCTAAACAAGATTAGTAAAATGTATGTAGTCTTTCAAAATAAGGTTATCCTATTGAATCCTTAAGCATTTTTTTCTAGACTTATTTGCCTTTTTCTGTTGCCCATTTAAGTAGAAGGAAAAAAAAAACTGTGAAAAGAAATTAAACTTGTTACTTAGACTGGAGATGTTGCTTATTGGAGATTGTTTGCCTAGGGGCCCAGGGCTTGATCTGTAGCACACAAAACCCAGAAGCACCACTTGCTGCTGTTTTCAAAAACACTCTTGAGACATGAAGCTAGTCCACAAGAATCATGAGATCTGAAGATGATCCTAAGAATATTTGTGCCTAGTAATCTTTTAGGTTTGGTAGCACTTAAGTGGCTATAGAAATCCATATGAGTTTTTTTTGTTGGTAATCTTGCAATGTGCATTTAGTTTAGGAACTAAATCTTAGTCATATTTGGATTTGCTATTTGACACCTGAATCAGGAAGCCCAGCAGTTGAATTTTACTCCACTGCATCCAATTAGAAGCTTTTAGAATTGCATCACAGCAAACAAGAGATCATCCATTCTTCCTGCCAAGAGGTTTTTGGGGAGATTACCAACTCAGATTGTTCACTGACTTACGACTTGCTGAGCTATGTGACTGGTCTTGTTGTCTAATGATGATTGAACAATATAGAATATAGTAAACTTAGAAATTGTTTAACAAAACAAGCCAACCATTTTGAGGAAGAACAAAACCATAAAAATTGCTGTAAAATGAGAACTTGGTCTCACAAACAAGACATCATTTGACACAGCAAAGTAAACTTATCTGATATTGCAAGAGGATGACATGGCTTTCTGGTGCCCTAAAGCTCTGGCTTGATAAATATTTTGTACAAAAACTGGAAAATTGGTTTTATGGATTAAACTGTTTTCCAGTGTACCTTTCAAATAGAATTTAGTCTCAAATCACTTTGAAAGTAGTTGATGAAATTGAAATATCAATAAATTTTGTTATAGTAATTAACCCAGTGCAGTTAGAAGTGTTTGGATTTTTGTTCCTTTTAGAGAAGGCAACTGAAAACCAGATAGAAACGCTTTCTTCAGCCCCACTCTGTTTGAAGCAGAATCTTTGAAAAACAAAACCTCCTCTGGAAGGGAAACATTTCTTTAACCCCTTCTCACTGGGCTCCTGCTTTTTAAGTTTGCTGCTGCAAACTCTGCTGTTTTTGCTTATATCCTCTGGTGCAATGGAAAAGCCCCTCTTGGCTGTCTGTGGGGGAGCTCTTTGCAGTGTGCTGTTGGTGGAAATCCCAGAGGGGATAATTCCTTTACTAAAGGAAAGTCTTATCAGTGAACTGGATGTTTTTCCATCGGATGACCCCAAGGGATGCAAAGGAATATCTATTGTCTTTCTTGCTATTATTTTTAGAGCTGGGATGTGGTATCTTCATTGGCTAATTCTAGTTGCCATGGTTGAAACCAAATTGGATTATTAATTATAGAGAGGGTAAGTACCTATTTTAAGACCCAGAACTGTGACACTGAGAATTTGAGATGCTTTGGAAGGTTTCTAGCTTTCCTCCTGCTTGTAATTCCTATAACCTAGTTACTTAACATCGCTGTAATTAACAAAAGGTGAAGCCAATTAATTGGTACTGTTTTATATACTTTACCAGCTTTGCTGTTCTCATCAGTGATGGGGGCAGTTGGGATGGGGTATGTGGAAGAAGGCAATTGGTTTTACTCTTATTTAGCATTCATTGTGTGCCAGACACTGTTCTCAGACCATAGTATTTCTGTTTAATTCTCATTACCCCAAAATATGTATTGCTCTCATAATGTCACAGATGAAGCAGCAGAGGATCATTTGCCCGAAGTTTAGAGCTAGTCAAGGGAGAACTGAGATTTGAATGCAGGAAGTCTTCAGAGTTAAGGATCCAGGCTAACTGTTACTGCAGGTTGAGAGAGGAGAAGGCCCCACCTATTTTGATTACTGTATATTGTTTATTTGTACAATCTTTATGTACTGGACCTTTGACATTGAGCTGATAACAAAAAGTTAAGGATTTTTATCCAGAAAATCCATGGAAAACAAGGGAAGTAGGATTAAACTAATCTTTATATTCCTATTGATCTGTTAACTTCGACTTCGACTGCTGAGTAGGTTTCAGTTTTTCCTGAGAAAGAGTACTTTCTGAATGGGTGGGATTTGTTTTTGTTTTTGTTTTTTTAATTTATTTTTGAGGGGGGCATTCAGGCTGGCCTTGAAGACACACGCAGTCTAGGCTGGCCTTGAACTTGTGGCAGTCCTCCTCCTTAGTGCTGGGGATTACAGGAGTGTGCCACCACACCCAGTTTAAATGAGTTTTTAAGCAGGAAAATACTTTCTTTTTTAAAATTTTTTCTCAAATTTTATTTTTAATTAATACATGTTTGCAGTACATAATAATTACATTCATGGGGATTAGTAGTACATAACACATTTTAATTCTTTTCCTTGTAGGGAGTGACAGTGAATATTTTGAATTTGTAGGACATAAGTTTGTGTAGCAACTATGCAAACTCTTAGCCATTATAGTGAGAAAGCAATTGAGTGTAAACAAATGGCCATGACTGTTCCTAAAGAACTTACTCTGTGGCCTCTGAGGTTTGGATTTCATATAATGTTCTTTTTGATGTTTATTTTTCAACAGTTTGTAAGTATACACTTTATTTTCAGCTTTGTGGGCAGTTAAACAGGTGGTGAGCTAGATTTGACCCACAGGCCTCAGTTTCTGAGCTTCTCTCCCATTTTTTAAGGAAAATACTTAGAAATGAGTCAGGCTAAAAACAAAATACCATATTTAATTTGCTGGTGTGTATATATAAGCCAATAAATAGGCTTTTTAGAAAATTGTTTTATTGACCTACAACCAATCCAGGAACTTACATAATGCATCATGTGTAATTTTTTTAAATAATGCATTTCCAGAACCTGTGTTTATAGATTCCTGGAAGAGAAATGTATCTTTTTCCTCTTTTGAATTCCTAAAATAACTTTTTTTCTTTTAGAGAACCTAAAATATAATTCCTTTACCAGAATCTCCTGGTAAAGTAGAAATTGGAAGTTCTAGGTAGCTAAGGCTTGTGTCCTGGAACTGAATGACCACACAGAGGTTTTTCTACTTCCTAAGTACCTCTGACAGCAAATGATGTGTACTTGCTTCAGCTGGACTCCATGGCAAACAAAAAACTACATTTAAATACATATATAGTACTCTATAAATGGCAACCACAACTAGAAATAGTGTAACATAAAATTATGCCCAGATATTTTTGGTCTGGGTAATGAATCATATAACTGAATCCTATAAAAAAAATATTTCGTAAAGAATAAAAAGTAGAACTTGAAGCAGGGAAAAGAAGGTATATCAGATGTTTACCCTACTACCAAATAGACACAGACATAATATAATTTGAGCCAGAGGTAGAAGGATGTAGGTTGAAAGTACAGAGTTCATTTTGAATTTTCCGTGGTTCATTCTGGAGACAACTGCATTATCTCTGCCACAGTGCAGAAGCATCTGGTTACTCCTGCATTATGGTATGGTAGAAATAAATCACAGTATGATACCTAAACAGTTGAGCTTAAAGCCTTGCTATTGATTTCTTTCTGTTAATGATCAATATTAAGGATTATGGTCATATCAACTGCTCATAGGTTTTTTAAATGCTTTATTTATATTGAGTCATAAATCTAAATATTGGGTCAAGGACCAAACAGGTTAAGTAATTGTGTAAATGAGAATGGAGAATGAGCAAGTGCAGTGATCTGGAAGATAGGGTTTGTTGCTGCTCAGCTGTAGTCTCTGGTTGCCTTAGGAGATTGCTGTGTACATGGCTCTTGTTGCTAGATCTCCTTATTGCTAAAAAGAAATTCAGAATCCTGGCTTTTTAACCCAGATTTTATCAGCTGACCTTCTGAAAAATTAAGAATAAAAACGTGTGGCCAAATAAATGTATCTGTTTGATCCTTTTTTTGAGACACGGCTTCACTATGTAGTCAGGCTGGCCTTAAACTCAGTATGTAGCCCACAGTGGCCTCCAACTCTACAATCCTCCTGCCTCAGCCACCAGAGTGCTGGGATTACAAGCATGTAGCACCAGGCCCGGTATTGCCTCCCTTCTGTATCCCTAGCCTATCAAATGAATTTGGCTCCAGGCCTCTGATTTGCAACTCCTTTTTTATATGGACAAAATGTTCTTGACCATCTAGAAAAAGTAATGCTACAATCACAAAGGCTGTAAAGACAGACAATAAGTATTACCCTTTGTTATTTTGCAGAAATATAAAGGTAAGTGTCATATTTTAAGGCTATATTTAGATCACGGTTTACTCATTATGGCTGTGCTGGTTTTCTTTTTTGCTAGTGGCAAGTTGTTAATTGTATTTGCCATCTGTTTTTTATTCCTTTTTAAACTTCCCCATCATAATGTTTAAGGGGAGTCATAATGATGTTTATGATAATAACACTTCTGATGTCAAGGGCCTGCCTAGTAGCTGGGGAAGTTCATAGATTTCAAAATGAATGGTGTTTTTAATTTGTAATGCTGATCCTCTAAACTTAAGGTGATTGTGAATTCTTATTACAAATTACACATTCTAGAATTTTTTTTCCTATGTCAGTTGTGAATGCCTTTGTAAAGATGTGTATACTGTTAAACGCAAGAGCTGTAACTATACCCAGGAATACTTTTTAAAAAATAAAAGCTGTTGTTGAATATATCTAGATTTTTTTAAAAAATACATTTAAGAGAATTAATTGCAGTTATTTTAAGTAGTTATATCTGTTAACTCTCCTAACTTTTGAAATATTGAAGTTTGATTATCCTAGTTTCACAAGTTTGCTTCATAACTGTGTGTTGAGTGTTTTGGCACTTCTGTGATTCCCCTCCCTCTTTAAGCTCTAGGGATTGAACCTGGGGTCTTTACGCTGAGCTACCTCTCCAGACCCCTCCTGCCGCACGCTAATTTTTTAAAATAATTGAAACAGGGTCTTGCTGAATGTCCAGATTGCCCAGGCTGGGCTGGGATTTGTTATCTTCCAGCCTCAGTCTTCCAGAGCGCTAGAGTTACAGGCCCGAGCCACCATGCCTAGCTTCTGTGATTTATTGAACCTGTAAGATATCTTAAAGAACAGGAAAGCTCCTCTCTTCCTTTTCTGTATCTTCTGCTTTAGCCTTATGCCAAGCCTAGACCATGTTGAGCCTCCTTTTTATGGCAGAGGAGGTGGAGGGGAATGGAGGAACTTGCAGTTGGGTAGAACTACATTCCAGCTAATTTTCTATACTTAACAGCTCTGTGACCTTTGACCGTTAACCTTTTCAGACTTGCTTTCAATAATGTGAGTGTGGGTCCTAACAACCTTGCACAATGGTTCCTTTTCTTTTTGAGATAGGGTGTCACTATCTAGTTCAAGCTGTGTCTAACGCAGGGATGCTCCTGCTTCAGCCTCCCAAGTGCTGGGATTACAAAATGTGCCACCACACCAGTCCTTCCACAGTTGTGCTGCTTTTGAAAATAAGTACCCAAAACACTCTGTAGACTTCAGACTCAGACTTACTAAAATTAAGTGCCATCACTCCTGTAGGTGCATCCAGTGAACATAGACCCACTGACCTCATTCGTTTTTTTTGTTTTTTTTTTTTCCGGTACCAGGAATGGAACTCACAACCTTGTGCTTGCCGGGCAGGCGCTGTGCCGCTGAGCTAAATCCCCAGCCCCCTCATTCTTTCAAACCTGACTGTCCTCATGTTGTTTTTAAATCGTACTTTTTCTGCTCTTACCTGTTAGTCCCGCTTATACCCCACAGATCTTTTCTCAGATTACATGTACTCAGAATATATAGTTAATACCTGTACCAAACTTTTTCTCTCACCTCTCTGCCAGTGCATTATAAGCATTCCTTTTCCACTTTCCATTCTATTCCCCCTTCCATTTTTTTCCCCACACCAACCAAAAGAGAGGTGATACCATTTCTTGTTTACTTCTCTGGCTCACTGCTTCTGAAGTGTTCTGTGCTTGGCATATGCCTGTTTGTTTGCTTGGTGCATGAACTTCGGATCCTTTTGTTCAGGGTCAGCTACTTCACACTGTGAGTACTGCAAAACACAGACCAGTACTCTAGGGCACCCCCACACACAGGTGCTAAGGAGTGATGTTTTATTATGGTGTATTTCTTACCTGTTTCCATTTGTTTGCAGGTTTTTAGAACTTCAGCTATCAAAATGGGCAGAATTTTTCTTGATCATATTGGTGGTACTCGGCTGTTTTCTTGTGCAAACTGTGATACAATCCTGACCAACCGCTCAGAACTCATCTCTACTCGATTCACAGGCGCCACTGGTAGAGCATTTCTGTTTAACAAGGTTAGTGAGAAAACGTTTCTTTGCCAGTAGGTTCAATGGATATATTTGACAGTACCGGAATACCTCCTCAGAGCTTGGTGACATCAGGCAAATTCAGAATGAGGCTTAAGTCTGCATGAATTATTGTTTGGCCTGTTTCTAATGGGACCTTAGGGAAGCATTACTAGAATGTGATTTTAAGAACCCCCCCCCAAAAAATGAGACCCCAGAAAACAAAAGACCCATTAAAAATGGGCAATTGACATGAACGGACACTTTTCAAATGAAGTATAAATAGCCAGTAAGTACATGAAGAAATGTTCCCCATTAAATAAATGCTGGTGAGGTTGTGGGAGGAAAAAAATACCCCTTCTACATGTTGGTGAGAAGGTAAAGGAGCACAGCCATTATGGAAATCAGTATGGAGATTCCTCAAAAAACTAAAACTAGAAATTGCATTTGACCCAAGTATACCTCTCTTGGGTATCATCCCAAAAACTTTAGTCATTATATTACAGTGATGCATGCATACTCATAATATTTATAGCAGCAGAATTCAAAATAGCCAAATCCAGGAAACAGCCTAGATGCCCTTCAACAGGTGAATGGATAAAGAAAATGGTATGTGTATACACACAGTGGGGTTTACTGAGGCATAAAGGAGGAGAAAGTTGAGTCATTTAGAGGAAAATGGATGGATCTTCAGAGCATAATATTGAGTACAATAAATCAGATACAGAAGATTAATAGTTCACATGGTTTTCTCTTATATGAAAAACCCAAAATATACTTTTAAGAACAAAGTAAAGGAGTGATGGTTGAGAGACAAGGAGGTAGACATTTTGAAGATGGGGGAAAGAAAAGGAAGGGAAATAAAAATCATCAAGTATATAAATATAAAATAGCAATTCCTCAAATTGAACGTAATTACTATGTATCACAAGTATATATTTTAAAAAGACAGTATTGATCACAAAAGAGAAACGTCTTATAAAGAGAAAAGTGGGATGCAGTGGTAGAGCACTGGCCGAGCACGAGCAAAGCCGGGGTTCAGTTCCTGGCACTAGAGAAGTGAGGCAGGGAGAGAGGAAGGGTGTTTTCCACATGTGGAGGAAATACACAGCGTAAGAACTTGATACTGATTTCAGCACAGGCTGTGGAGGAAGGCGGCAAGACCCACACTTCTTTCCTGCATGTCACTGATGTGTCTGTGAAGGGCGGTAGTCATGTTAAGCTGTCCTAGTTTGGCGATGAAAAGCAAGTAAGGATCATCTAACCAACTTCTCTTGCTCCCGCCCATGCTCACCAGCCATTTTTTGATTATGAATTGTGTTATTGCAAAGGTCTACCGACAGGAAAAGGATTTCCTGATTTGCAAATGTGTCCAGTCTATCTGCCTCAAAATTTCTGATTGGAAACTGGTTGATGTGATTCTACCTCCTAGAGTGCAGTGTACTAGGGAAATTTTTAGGCTAAGGAACAGAGCTAGTCTAGGTATCTAGAAGGTCAGATAAACTTTCCCCGGGGGCCAGTCCTTTCTGTTCCACGTAGACGAAGTTTTTCTCTCAGAATTGGTAATGTGCTACGCTCCACCTTTATTTAGGTACAGAGCAGGTGCAAATAACTTACATTCCTTCGCAATGTTAATGTATTTTTTAGGTAGTTAACCTGCAGTACAGTGAAGTTCAAGATCGCGTCATGCTCACTGGCCGCCACATGGTTCGAGATGTGAGCTGCAAAAACTGCAATAGCAAACTGGGATGGATCTATGAGTTTGCCACTGAAGACAGCCAGCGTTATAAGGAAGGCCGTGTGATCCTGGAACGTGCTCTAGTTCGAGAGAGCGAGGGCTTTGAAGAGCATGTACCATCTGATAATTCTTGAAGAAAAAGAGATAAATCCATCTTTTCCCAGGTCTCCTTCACTGAAAACAAAAATCTACTTACATACACTGTCACCTTAGCATCAGAGTCGGATTCATGAACTGCGGAACAAGAGGTTGTGAGAATCTAAGATGAAACCTTTCTTTCTTTCTTTTTTTAATTTTGTATTTTCCATCCAACAGCAGTGTGTAGAGAGTATTATGCAGATGCTGTTAACCTTTTTCCCTATGTTTACATCGTGAGGCAGAAGAGTCTACCTGCAGCTACATGGTGGGCTACGTGAGGAAAAAATCTGGGCTATTAGAGTGAAAAAGTGTGTTTTATGTAAATTTTGAATGGAGACTATGTCAAGAGCATGGTTTTTAAACTTATTTGGGCTTCATTTTAAAACATTTTTTAAAAACCCAGTTATTTCACTTGATTTGCTAGCTTCAGAGAAGAGATCCGAATCTGTGCCCAGCGCTAAAGGCTCAGTGTTAGCACGGCTTGTGCTGGCCGGCGTGCCATATTCTTGTTGGAGATGAACCGTAGCCCCAGAGCCCATTCTTCCTTGTCAGTCTTGACCCAAAGATACCACCATTCCTAGTTACTTGTCACCATGTAAGTGGTGTTGATTGGAAGCTTTCTGAATTGGGGCAGAACTGCTTGGTTGTCTTTTTCCATGTAACTTAAGCATAGTAATATAAATAAAATAATAGTTGGATGTTTTTGGTCCTGTGTTGCTTTAAAAACACCTTATAAAAGAACAGTATTTGATAAGTAATTTTCATAGTAATTGTTTCTTCACATCTCTTAAGCTAAGTGGATTATGTATAAGGTATTCCTTGTATAAATGAAAACAAGACTGTTTAAACCCACAGTCTTGCACTTAGAAAACATTTGAACAGAATGTCAGTGTGTGTGCATCCGTGCAGAGAGCATTTAATCTGTATCTGCTTTAAAAGGAGGGGGAAATGAAGCAGCTCGTCTAAAAATACTTCGTTACAGGCATTACAGCCTTGCTCCTCAGTTTTGCATTGATTTTGACGAGTCTGTAGAGCCTAATAGTTCCATCAGAGGAGTAGGTCTCTCCTTAGCATTATTTTTCCAGACTTTCCCTTAGAAGTTCAGCTACTGAAATCAAAACTGTACTTGGTACCTGCAGTGGAAAAAGATCAAATTTGACTCAGGGTGTTATTTTAGCCCAAAATTTATAACATTGCAAGGTATTAAAATGTAAATGTTTCCTTATCCATACTACTTCTATATTCTAATATTTGCTTTTGGTGGAATAAATGACAGTAAAATTGACTCACTATTCAAATGAATGGATGTTTGCATGCTCAAATCTAGGTCTTTGTTTAGAAGGAAATTTGCTTCAGTTGAATGAGTGATATATTTGTCATGAGAGGTGACTCTTGCTGTTGGGCACTTGATTGGAAATATAGATAGCTGATTAAGTAGATCTAGTATAGTATTGCATTTGAAATAAATGGACACAGACTCCGTCTTCAACATGAAGTCAGTCTTCAAGCATTAAGAAACAGCATTCATTCCCATCGATTTTCATACTAGCCTTTGATATGCAGATTCCTAGTAGCATGCCTTACCTACAGCACTATGTGCATTTGCTGTCATAATAAAGTATATTTTGTCTTGCATTGGTGGAATACTGCTTATTTTCCACTGATTTTATCTAGTGATCATTATCATTTTTATCTCTGAACATGTACAGTATCTCATGCCTTTGAGTGGAGCTGGCTTCCCTTGTGATGGAAGGTGACATTCTTAGTTAACGCAGAGTTATTTATACCTGAAGACTTTGAATCTGCTAGTACTAACTTGTGTGAGATCATTGTTTTAAACACTGACAACTATGCTTTAGCATGTAGTATATGAAAGATAAACTTGTTCATATATAATTACAGATGACAAGTTGCTAGGTTAACTAGAAGGCACAGCAATGAGCCCCTCCACACCTGCCTTTTAAAAATGTCCATTTGAAAAAAATTTAAACATTGAAAGATCCAATCAGATTGGATTGTTTACCGAAAAGCAAATATTCTTTAGGTGGGTACACCGATAAGAACAATTTTGCTTTGGATTGGAAAAGTTAATTGACCAAATACAAGTGAAGTTACTACAAAATCCTTGGATTTACTGCAGGGTGTACAGAGTTAAGCATTTTCCCTGTGGAGATTTTATGATACTTAATGTTAAAAAGTGATGGGCGTCGTGGTACATGTCTATAATCCAAGTACTCTGGGAGGCTGAGGCAGGAGGGTTGCTGTGAGTTCAAGGCCATCCCGAACTGCGTAGCAAATCTCTGTCTTCCAAAGGGGAAAAAAAAGCGATGATGACCATAATTTATTTTGATCTCTCTTTTGTTTTTCGGGGTCTTGCAGTGTAGTTCAGACTGGCCTTGAACTCACTGTGTGGCTAGGCTGGCCTCAAGCCTGCAGTGACCCTCCTCCTCAGGCTCCTGGTACTGAAATTACAGGTGTGCCACCACACCCAGCTGGTTACTTTGATCTTACACATGCTTTTATTTAAAGAGATCTTAAAGTGAATGTTCTGGGTTTAAAATGTTTGTAGCTGGGCATGGTAGTACCAGCTTGTAATCCTACCACTCTGGGAGGCTGAGGCAGGAGGATCACAGAGTCAAGGCCAGTCTGACAACTTGTGACTTAGTTATTAGACTTTGGTATTGGCAGTAAAAAGAAAAGGTCAGTACTGTTGCCTAAATTTACCAATTTATAAAAGTCACAAGATGTTTTAAGTTGTAAAGTCCAGGTCTCAGTCCAGGGCTACTAGGTTAGTCAACAGGTAATTTTTGATGAATCTGAATTGAAAAATTGATACATTTATGATAGCTCAATTCCACATAAAAACAATTTCGATACCTACTAATCGCTTGTTTTTAATGCGTCTTCTCACAAGGAACAATATAAAACTTCAGAGGAAGGTGTAAATCAAGAATTTCCTGTCATCTTGTTTTGAAATTGTGTATCGTTTGTATTTATTTTTATTCTCTTAAAAAGAATAATACAGGATGTGGTGGCTCATGCTTGTAATCCCAGCACTCAAGAGGCTGAGGTAGGAGAGTCATAGCGAGTTTTAGAACAGTCTGGGCTACAAAGTGAGCTCAAGGCGAGCCTAAACGGCATAGGGAGACCCTGTCTCAAAAAGACGCCCCCTCAAAAAAAAGAATAGGTCAAGATTTTCCCTGGAAAACTGTCATTAGGATAGCATTTTGCACTGATTGGAATATCACCATTATAAAAATATGTAGCTCTAAGAGTAGAAACTAGGGTGTATATCCGTCTCTAAATTGGATGTTAATTTGTGGCTTCTTTATTCTGAAATACTGAACTTTCCAAATTGGAACTTAAGGCATAAAATGTATGCTTCAGAGCACCGTTAAGGGTCTTGGTGCTGGTTATGACCACATATTTAGGGTTTTAAAAATCATATGCAACATGACCTGAGAGACTTAAGTATTTGAATTATGTTCCTTATTTCTCCCAGTACTGAGGTAGAACTACACAAGTCCAGATCTTCATTTTATTTTTTTGTTACTGGGGATTGAACTCAGAACCTTTGCGCTGAGGTAAATTTCTAACTCTTTTATTTTTGAGACAAGGTCTTGATAAATTTCCCAGGATGGTCTGAAACTTGTGATTTTCTATCTCAGCTTCCCAGAGTGCTAAGATTATAGGTATGCGCCTCTACGCCCAGCTAAGACTTTTTTTTTTAAACAGGATCTCACTGTGCAGTTCACTTGGCCTTGAACTCACTTTATAGCCCAGGCTGGCTCAAACTGACAGCCATCCTCCTGCCTCAGCCTCCCAAGTGCTGGGATTAAAGGCATGTGCCATCACACCTTTTTTTAAAAACCTGACTCCAAAAGTATGTCTGCTAATACATGAGAACCACTATTGAAAGAATTCAAAAAAGTGCTGGGGATATAGTTTAGTATGAAAACTTTGGGTTCACTCCCCAGTACCACAAACACACAAAAAGTTATTCAAAGTCAGAAGAACCATATTTGTGGTATGTTACCATGGGAAAAGCATATTTGTCAGAAGAGGCTAGAAGGTGAGGTGTGGCTGAGGAAGGTTAATATGTTTTTCCACCTGCTTAAACTGATTTAAGTGGGTAAACAACAATTAGACGAATTGGCTTGAGTAGAAAGTGGAAAAGAGACCTGGTTTCTGAACAGGTAAAATCTTTAGTGTTGACGCTATCTTAACTAGCTTTGTGACTCAGCCGTTTTTTGTTTGTTTTGATTCAGTCTCTGGGTTTCTAAATTGTTCAGCTTGGGCTCACACTTGCAGGCCTTCTGCCTCAACCTCCCAGAGTACTGGGATTACAGGTGTGTATCACTGTGCCTGGGCAGGAGTCAGTTTATGAATCTCAATTCTCTCAAGTATGAATGTGAAAACAACCCATGCCTTAAGTGATTGTTGTCAGAATAAAGTGAAATTTACGCCAGGAAAACCTGTCCATAAATGTATGCACATAGGCTGGGTTTGGTGGTGCACACCTGTGATCCCAGTACTCAGGAGGCTGAGGCAGGAGAATTGCTACATTGAGATCAGCCTGGGCTACAAAGTCAGTTCAAGGCCACTTTGAGCTGCATAGTTAAACCCTATCTCAAAAAGAGAAAATTAACAAATATGCACATGTATGAAATGAATACTCTGTTTAATATTCCTGAACAACTCCTTTATTCTGAGTTTCAAGAGTGACCAGAGTGCTTTTAAAGTTTTTGAAATCCTGAATTGTGAGGGAGGAAATATCTTCTATATAATAGTTCATGCCAACCTCAAGTTCCCAGCCATCCTCCTGCCTCAGCCTCCTGGGTGCTGGGATTACAGGTGTATGCACCACGCCAAGTGACTTTAGGCCGTGAAGAATCTTACACTGCAACAGACATTTTGAAGTGTTTTCAGAAATCGTCAGAGCTCTTGTATTTCTCCTGCCGTGGAGCAGAGGGAAGAAAAGGTGAAAGACTCATTGAAAATAACCTCAATGGTAAAGTAAATAAAAAGACACAATTTTTTCCCGGACAAGGTAATTTGGGGAAGAATCCTATGAAAATGTCCACCGATGGCTACACGCTGTCCTTACTTTTTAAACCCAACTCTCTTCTGTGTCTGCCTCACTGTTTCACAGTACTGCTCGAGTGATACTAGTTTTTAATCTTACGGTCTGAAGGGTGGGTTATAGCCAAATCACCTCATTTTAGTCTTTGCTCTAAAAATGGACAAGTCCTTGTCTCTGGATTTAAGGCAACATACAAGGATTTCATGTGATAACAACAAAGTCCCTGTACCCAGAGCAGTTTGAAAAGCCCTGATTTGAAAAGCTGTGTGTCTGAGGAGAGACGAGAGGTTTGCAGGGACTGGTGCAGTGGCAAAAGTCCACAGCTGTGCCTTGAAGCAGGAGGTTGGCTTCAGCCCCTCCCCAGAGTTTCCTCTGCCACCAGCTGTTAAACCACCTTTGAGTGAGGTGTCAGCGTCTGGCACCACCTTCTCAGCTAACTCACTGTGTCTTCGCACACCCGTTACTGTGGACCTGGGGAAATATCATGGATTTTGCTCTGTTTCCAGATAAGCTATTTCCCTTTCTCCAGGTTCCACCCCAATTTTAAGGTCCCCAGGGCAATTCTGAAACCTGTCAGCATGAGGAAAGTAATGAAAAATAGTTTCATTTGCTAGTGAATCTCAGGTCCTGTGTTAGAGTAGGCTCCTTAGGACAATAGCAACAAAAACCCAGTGTCAAAGATTGAGAGGCAGATAGATCTGAATAGCAAGAAGCAACATATTCAAGAGGTCTTGCAGAAGCTTACACTGAAGGAAAATGTTAATTTAAAATCAGCTGAAACCCATGCTACCCCAGAAGCACCAGTAGGTGGCAGACCTGTGCAAGAGGTTCAGTTCTTAAGAGCTAACCTGACTTGTAGCTAGGAAAGGACTGACGTTGGGGGAATCTGTCTTGTTGCTCTTATTCTGCTAACCAGGGAGTACAGGTTTTGATGTTGTTTTTTTGTTTTTTTCCGGTACCAGGAATCGAACTCACGACCTTGCGCTTGCCAGGCAGGCGCTGTGCCGCTGAGCTAAATCCCCAGCCCCTGAGTACAGGTTTTGAAATAAAGGACTATTTTACTCCAGTGGCAAATCATCACAGTCAATTATGTAAGGGAGAAAATGCTTCCTAAACTAGAAAGTGTTAATAGTTTGCACTTTGTTAAAATGATTTATCTGCCAGTGCTTCCTCCCCTCTTCCTGGACTATGGATCAAGCCCAGGATCTTCACATGCTAAGCAGGTGCTCTACCGCTGCGCTGTGCATCCAGTCCTTTTTATTTTTTGAGACAAGCTGTTGACCTGAAGCTTGTGATCCTCCTGCCTCAGCCTCCCTGAGTAGCTGGGACTACAGGCATGTGTTAGAATGTTTTCGTATTGATTAAAAACCTTCATCTTACACGACTTCCAAAATTTGTCAGAAAATTTTTAGTACCGGCTTTCATCTGGATAATGGAACCCAAAATCACAGAAAAATATCACAGTGGTCATCACAAGTGAAGTTCACAAGTTTGAACTTAATCTCTTTATTCTTTTTTTTTTTTTGGTTTTGGTTTTTCTCTGGTACCGGGA